ACGAATAATAAAGTAACAATGTAGTGGTTAGATTTACAGAGTAATCCTTAACATTGTTATGTTACATGGATATTATTTCATCAGTAGCTAAGGCGAGACTTCCTTTATTCCTTGTTTTGCGTACTTATTCTTCTAAAGATCATCGGAGGAGGGCAGAATAAAAATAAAGATAAAATTTAGTTGTTTTATTCAGCAGACAGTTTGCCTAAAACATCCAGACGGAGAAGAAAATAAATATTTAAAAAAAATAAATTTTATTGGCGAATGTAAAGAAGGATGGTTAAATGCTTAAAATTTATATAAATGTGTTTGGAGATTTCAAGGCAGTGGAGGACATAATATAATTTTAATTTTAAAAAACTAATTTTTTACTGTAATTTCCATTTTTTGTGGCAGTGGGTGCGCTAATTGCTCAAATTTAAAAAACATCAACATTTGCAGTAGGCGGGTTCGATAAAGAAGGTATAAAAAAGTCTCGCCCGAACATTTGGTTTTTAGAATCTATCTATTTACTTACCGATTTTGACAATCTTGTGCTTTTGAAACTTCTTAGTACTTTTTGATCCAGTTCAGATGAAGTCAGGAAACAAAGTTGTTCAGGATAGATTTAAATGTTGTTAAACAAGTTTCAAGGCTTGAAAATACTGTAAAATATAATATAAATATGTAAGTGAATTACCATGTAAATAAAACAAACGATTATATAATAGCACCAAAATTCCATCACATGAAGTAGTTGATGTATTTTGAAATTTTTGTTCTGTGATAAGTTTAAATGAGGTGTTTTGTGCAAGTTTAAATAGTAGTCTGTTAGGTGACTCTCAGGCTGCACATCACAAATTCAGCACTGTACACTGTTTGTGTACAGGTACACAAACAATTATTCAAGCTGTGTAATTTCTTAGATAAATATATGAAAGTAGGTTTATCAAATACAATTAAAATAAAAGAAAATAAAGTAAAGACAAAAAAATTAACAAACATTATGCTTTAATTAAAAATGTCATTAGCATAAGACGACAATGTAGTATTTTGTTTACTATTACCGTATATCATGGAATTCTGAAATCTAATTTTACGCGTACATCATCTAATCCTTACCATTGTGACAAGTGATGAAATGGAATCCCAATCACATTATGTCTGTATACCATTCGCTTTAATAAAGTATTCACTTATTATTATTTTTACAACAAAACTCACCAATTGTTTGCACAAGACCATCTTCAAGAACCGATCAAAATTATTATAATGCCTCCATAGATATACTAGTATGTTGGCAGGTAGCACATACGGCAGCTCAGGGTGGTGATCTGATAATAAATTGTATTTTAAGTTTTCATGTCCATCTTCGCCAATACTTACAGTAGCACCATTAATAACGGCATGGATGCCTCATGTTTTTTGGGGTTTTTTTTACTCCTGACAAAAACACAACATAAAGATGAAATATAGAAAATGTTTAACTTTACAATTAAGATCGACAATATACGTAGGCTGCACAAAGATGTAGGCCTATACTGATATTAAATAAAGTGTAGTATTTTATGCTTGAGAAACAGAAAACAGCTTTGAATTGTAATGGACTCCATGTATGATGTTGGAATTCAATATTTTGACAATGACATTATGTTAAGATGTGGACTCATTATATGGACAGCCTGGGGGTGGGAAGAGCTAGCCAGCCAGGTCCCCTATGTAAGTTAAGGATCAGCCAGAGGCACTTCGTGGATTACTATGATTGTTTATTGAGGTACTGACCGGCATACATGTATGAGATGGGTAACGCACCGAGAGGGCGTGCTTCAAATTTATACAATGTTCTACATCTTCCTTCTTTTATTTTGTTTAAGAGAGTTTTTTTTAAACATGATCAATTTGTAGTAAATTTAAATCTTTTCATCCTTTTGTTTCCTTTTTTTAAACATGAGAACAATAAAACGTTTTAAGTCAAAAGTGTGATTGTGTTTAATATTCATTCAATTGTGATCTTTTCTATCTTAAATTCCTGTTCAATTTTTAATTTCCATTTTACTTATAAATTCCAATCCAATAACAATGGTCTATAATCAATGTATAATTAATGTTCATTCAATGTTCAGCAATCCAAGCAATGTTCAATCAATGTTCAATAAGCAATGTATAATCAATATTTATTCAATGTTCAATAATCGATTTTCAGCAATCAAATTAATGTTCAATAATCAACGTTTAGTAATCCAATCAATGTTCAATCAACGCTTGCATTTTTTTTCCTTTTTTCTTTTTTTTTTTAGTTACTGGGCAAACATAGAGCTATTGTATTTGGGATTTTGTTTGACAGTTCGTCCACTTCGGATTCTTGTTGGCTGAATCTGTGTTGAATTTTGTGGTAGTTCTTCACAAGGCTGAGTTTGCATTTGTGGTTTTGGGTTGTGTATCGGCTGTGTGTCCTGGAATTGTAATGGTATATAAACAGCTTTTTGTATCGGCTTGTTTTCTGTTACAGGAAGCAGATATTTTCTGTTTATTCTTATTTGCGTTTCACCGGTATCGACCATATATGATCTTGGCTGTTCCAGAATCTTGCTGATCGTTTCCAGGCGATCATGTCCTTTCTATGTTCTTATTCGAACTGTCTGGTTTTGTTGTAGCGATGGGTGCGCGCTTGTCTGTGCTTTTTTGTCATAGTAGCGCTTCTGTTGGTTTCTCTTCATTTCTAATTGATTTCTTACAACTTTTGTATTGATTGGTTTTGGTGTCAGTAAGAATTTGTTTGTGTAGAGAGGATTTCTAGTTGTTCGTGATAGTAGTCTTTGTGCCGGTGATTTGAGAACCGTTTTAGAAGATTTATTTTGAGTGATCCCAGGAAAGAATTTGTATTGGCTGAAGAATAAGCTTTAAAATGTTAACATTGTGTACGGCTCTCCCCCTGGATATGTCCCTGATTCTGATGCGAACTGTTTGAATTGTTGACCTGAATACTGACCTCCATTATCACTTATGGGAATCTGCGGTGTACCATGGGTAGCAAGGTGAAGCTTCAGTTTCACTATTACTGTGGCTGA